TTGATCTCCTCTAGGACTGACCGGTTTGATTGCCTTGCAGTCCAAGGCAATCAAACCGGTCAGTCCTAGAGGAGATCAACCCTGACTGCTCTTTAGAAGGCCAGATTCTGAAGATGAAACTCAAATACTTTGGCCACCTGATGAGAAGGAAGGACTCCCTGGAGAAGAGCCTGATGCTGGGAAGAATTGATGGCAAAAGAAGGGGACGGCAGAGGATGAGGTGGCTGGATGGAGTCACTGAAGCAGTCGGCATGAGCTTAGGTGGACTCTGGGGATGGTGGAGGACAGGAAGGCCTGGAGGAGCGTTGTCCATGGGGTCGCGATGGGTTGGATGCAACTTTGCGACTAACTACAACAAAAAGTGGATTGGACAAACTCATGGAGAAGATTATCTATAGCTGCTAGTCCCCATGGTCCAATTCCACCTCCAAGATCAGTATGTCTTGCTGGGGAGCATGGGAGGGAGGGTGCAGTTGCTTTCCTGTCCTGCTTCTGAGTTTCCCATGGGCAGCTGGTTGGCCTCTCTGTGAACAGAATGCTGGATTAGATGGACCCTTGGCCTTATCTAGCACAGCTCTTCTTGCATTCTTAAGTGCTCTGGTAGAGCAAGGAGGGGGGAAAGCAGCACTTCTGAACCCTATTTGAATCTGCTGCTTTTCTTTTTGCTCTGGTAAGACCACAGTTGTATATGCACTTACATGAGTGTAATACTGGTTGTACTTGGGAGTGGCTTCTTTTGAAATTAGGGGATTACCTAGGCTTAGATTCCTTACAAAAGGTAAGCAACGGATACAGGAAACACGAGCGACCCTAACGCGCAGGCGCGAGCGCTTGGCACTCCTTCGCGTCCCCATCCGCTTCCATTTCCGCGCAAGCGCATTGAAGCGAAAGGCCTTCGACAAAGGAAGGTGGCACGTTCGGCGCTTACCTTCCTTGGCGCATGCGCAGTACTCCCGGTCCTGTCAGGGACCCAAAGGGAAAGAGGCACGTCATGGCGGCGCACGGAGGTAGCGGCTGGTTCCTGCCTTTGGCAGCTGGGGTCACGCTGCTCAAAATGCTCCTCATTCCGGCCTAGTAAGGAATCCGGATTCGTTATTTCTACTCCGGCCGGGAGAAGGGGCGGGAAGCGCGAGGCGAGGGTACGACCCGCCATTGTGCGCTCTGCTGTCCCTGTCGGGCGTCTTCCCCCCTCCCCGCTTTCGCAGCCTTTCTGGCTGTTCCCAGTAGGATGTTCCACCCCCTGCTTTTTTCCAGCCCCTTGAAGGGTTTCTTGGCCATTCGTTCTTTACCCTTCTGTTGTAGGATGAGCTTTTCTAATCTTCATGGGAAAAAAATATCGGGAGTCACGATGCAGAGCTTGTACAGAAACTTTAAAAATTAATCTTAAAAGTACATTGTGAACAAAGTTCAGCATACATAGAGCAGAGGACACATGCAAGAACCACTTAAAAAATGAACTGGTTTCCTATGAGGATTTCCTCAGGAGTGAGATGCACTGAATTCAGGGAAATGGGTCGAGGACTGAAGGTTCTCTGCATGCTCTCTTGCAAATGAAGCCCTCTGAAATGGGAGTCTTATTTCCGAGTAGGAGGATATTGTATGGTTGCAGTTTTATGCACAAGGTTGGGTTGCAACTCTACTGCACTTTGGCCCCATTGAATATAATGTGGACATGCCTGCAGGATATGGAGTGGCATATAAATGTAATAAATAAATTTGCATAGGTACAGACTAAGGATAAGAACAATTTTTTTCTGAAACTTGCAATATTTGCCAAATTCCTACTTTGCTTGATTTTATTTCATTGAGGACATTTTCAAAAGCTTAACAAAAAGGTTATATTTATGCCATGCTTGCCTTGTGGCTTATAGCAATTCCATCAGTATTCAGCCCTATTTTGAATGAACTGAAGAAGCAAACAGACTAAAAGTAAGGTATTGCTGTAAACCACACAGAGAATTTTGACTAGTAGGCAGTACAGTCTTTGAAGCTTTTAGTCCCATTATCTCAAAGCTGAAATGCCTCCCTGAGCTCAGAACATTTGAAACAGTTGCTTTATTTCGATCTACTTTTTCCTGTGGCCTTTTCAAAGAATTTTTGGAATTTGCTTATCCAGGATCATCATATTCTTATTCCAAAGTGAGATACTCTACATCTGAAGCTATTTTATACCTGGTCAGATTATTCACCTTTTGGCCAGGACAGCCCACTCCAGCAAAAGGCAATGGGCAACAGCTGTCAAGGGTGCCATCCTTCCAAAAGATACCGCTTCCTGAACCAAAGTGCCCTGCTGATTTCTTTTAATGATTACTTTTGTTTTCTTTTAAGTACTTCCCCAGCTCCAGCTGGCTCCTTTGTGAACTCAGGGGCCATTCTTAGGAAATGACGTTATGAGGTGGCTAGAGTCCAGTGTTACCCTGGAATTTCTCCCAGCCACTGAAAAGGCAGAAAGGGAGTGAGGGATGGACAGACTCCATTGCACTGTGTCTTCTGAAATTACCCACAGTTGGGATGTCCATGGGCAGTTCTAGAAAGCAATTGCTCAGGTTCATTCCACTGGACACAGTATGGAATTATCGGACCACTGTTCAAGCAGTTTGGGGAAACAGACAGGCAGAGCAGGTGCTGCTTCTTGTGAACCTGAAGCACAGATGTTCATTTCTGGTTTGTTAGAAGCATGACGGTATAAACAAGAGAACTTATTTTATTTCTAATTCTCCGCAGGAGACCCTTTAAGGAGACCTACCCCAATTAATATATATGGCTCATAGCAATTGTGCCACACTGAGAGATGCAATAGCACCAAATAAATAAGGGAGTTTGATGCCGCTCAGGTGGATGAAGCAGGGTAATAGTTAGCTCACCTGTGGGCTTCCTGAAACTGAATGGAAAATTCCACGTTGCAGCAATTCTGGCAAACATTCATTTAGCTTAAGAATGCAGGAGCAGTCAATGTTGTCAAGGCACTGGACTACATGGCTGTTTCTAGGGAAATGGGCAGACTTTCAAGTTGTACTTAGCTTTTGTTGTGAGCCTTGCAAAGCGCGATCTTGGTTTCTGGGGACTGACTCTGGGGAATGGTTTCTGAGAGCAGCCACAGCTACACTGTAGTTCTTAGCCCACTTGGAAACAGCTAAGCAAAGCTTGCGCTCAGCATTTGGCATTACCTGGCAGCAATTTCCGCATGCTCCGTGTGATAACAAGGATACCCATGTGCCCAGTCCACCGTTGGGCCTGCCTATGGAAATGCAATTTCAAGGAAGAGGCAGTGATGGTAGATTCAGCTTCTCACTTGAGCATATATGACAAGGTTTCACATTTTGTGGAGAAAAGAGGAGCTTAAGTCATTGCAGCGCCTGGTTTTCAAAACTGGAAACATGAGTGTTCGATGTGACAGTGATCAAAATGCTAAAACACATTTTTAACTTGGCAAAAATAATTTCTGTTTCTGGAAGGAAGGAATGGAATCAACTGTTGTGCATGAAAGCAATACGTGCCATTAATCTCTTTGCACGCCACGGTGGTTCCAACCGGGTTAATTTGTGAATGCAATGGCTGAAATTAAGTTGTCTGCTGGTAGCATAGCAGGGAGCTGCTGACTAGTTCTTGTTTCCCTGCCACAGCATAGTAAATACAAAGTGAAAGATCTCTCTGTGTCTTCCTTTATGCAGGTACTAACAGCTCGTTTCTTGTAGTCATTCCACAGATTTTGAAGTGCACAGAAACTGGCTTGCCATTACGCATAGCTTACCAGTCTCTCAGTGGTATTACGAGGTAAGTGTGGCTGTCCTTTTGTCTTGCACACATGCTCCGTTGGGGCCAGAACAACGAGGTCCAGTCTCAGGTGGAGTTTTGCTGGTGTGCTTTTCCCACAAACTCTTTTCCTCATGTACACTTCACGATTCCCCACCACCTCATGCAAGCCAGGTTGTGTAGGAGTCCTACCAGGGCTCAGTGAACTGGACTGATTTAGCTACAGCGGATCCTCTGTTCTCCTGCTCGTCTTCCGCTTGCCCCATGCTGCTGCCGGCAGGGGCTAACTTCTCTGTCCACTGCTGCAGAAAAGCCAATGGGCCCACCTGTCCAGAGTTGGAAATGGGCGCAGCGGTGGGTCTGTGCACGCAGCCACCACAGCCCTGCCCCAGACGGTACAGCACTGCGGCCACTGCCTCAGTGGCTTTGCCCCTGCTGCCCTACAAGCATGCCTCACCTTAGCAGTTTCAGTTGGTGGCGGCAGCAGGGGGGGCAGAGGGGACTTTGAAGTCATGAAGCCATAGAATAATTGGACTGGAAGGGGACAGAAAGCCACTGAGGCCCAACCCCTGCTCGATGCAGGACTCCAGGTTAAACCTTTCCTCTCAGGTGGCTGTCCAGGTGCATCTTGAATGCCTTCAGTGTGGGAGAGCCCACCACCTCCCCAGGTCACTGGCTCCATTGTTGTGATGCTCGAACTGTCAGGAAGTTCTTCCTGTAACTTGAGCCCGTTATTCCATGTCCTGCACTCTGGGATGATTGAGAAGAGATCCTGACCTGCCTCTTTGCGCCAGCCTTTCAAGTACTGGAAAAGTACTATCCTGACTCCTCTCCACTTCTCGTGCCCAGTTCTTTCATTATCTCCTCACAGGGCTTTGTTTCCAGTCCCTGGATCATCCTTGCTTCCTCCTCTGAAACTTTTCCAGATTGTCTGCATTTTTCTTAAACTGTGTTGCACAATACTTCAGATGAGACCTAACCAGTGCTGAGTAAAAGTGAACTAATACTTCACGTGATTTATGTCCAGCGTGTGTCAAATAATGCAGATTACGGTGTGGTTTTTTCCATTTTGCTTAAATGCGATTTAGGCAATAGGTTTTCCCTTGTTAGAGGAATTTAAGTAGAGGCTTTTATTGTTGTTATTTCATAGAATAGTAGAGTTGGAAGGGGCCATGAATGCCACTGGCTCCAACCCCCTCCTATAGCAGGACACCAGTTTACACCATCCCACTTGGATGACGGTCCAGTTTCGCCTTGAATGCCCCCACTGTGGGAGAGCCCACAGCCTCTCCAGGCAGCTGGTTCCACTGTTGTATTGAGGATCAGAATAATAGAGTTGGAAGGGCCAGAGGGTCCAGCCCTGCTCAGTGCAGGACACTGAGTTAAACCATCCTCTCAGATAGCTGTCCAGTTACATCCTGAATGCTTTAAGGGTGGGAAAAGTCATAGCCTTGCCAGGAAATTTGTTAATCATTCTCTGCACTTCCTCATCCAAGTCAGTAATGAAAGCTCTGAAGAGCACTGCGCCCAAGACTGAACCCTCTTGTTACCTCTCCCCACTCGAGAAGGTGCCACTGATGAGCACTCTTTGAGCCTGATTCTGTAGCCAGCTGAGGATGGCTTTGAACTCAGATGTCCCGAGTGCAAGCCAGAGCTCTCTCTGCCAAACCAGAACGTTTCACAAACACAGCCAGCGTCCTGCACCAAGAAAAGCCGGCATGTGCGATCTCTCTCAATGGCCCGCTCTGATATCCTTGCTCATTCTGCATAATTTGCCTCCTCCTGCCATTCACGAGAAAGGCAGAGCACTGATAACCCAGACAATGGGAACACTGTCCATTCTTCTCACTGATGAGAGGCCTTTCACATCAAGCACGTGCTCTGCCGTCGGACTCTTGCTGTTCCATCCTGTCCAGAAGTGCCACGTCCTTGAATGGATTTATTATTATTATTATTATTATTATTATTATTATTATTATTATTA